TATATAATTTTATCAAAAATTGACATTTAATTTTGTCCAATTTATATTCAACTTTGTCGAATTAATATCAATTTAATTTTTATTTTTATAAAATAAATATTAAAATCCATTTGGATACTAAATTATATCAATTTTTGGATACTAAATCAAATCTTATTTAATTTTATTTAATTTTTAATTTTTTGGGTACTAAAGTTAGAGAAAGACAATTGTAAAAATAATAATATTTTTTGGGATGAAATCATCACTTTCTGTTAGTAACATTGACAGAAGAGATACAAAGGGGGTCTCTGTGCAGTAAATTTTAAATCTCAGGGGGTCTCTATGTCATTTATAAAATGTTATAGGGTGTCCATATAATATTACCAAAACTCAGGAGATTTTCGTATTGTTTACCCTATTTTTCAATTAGATATTAATTTATGATTATTTTATTTTAAAATATTGAATTATTGTATTTCTAATAAAAGTAGTTATTAGTTAATAAGGTTTGTTGGTAGTCAAAAAAGAAATGTGTGAGAGTATGTTTTTGCGTATGTTTATATGTGAAGGATTGAACATGATAATTAAATTTATAATTATATTGTGTCATTTGGGGTTGAACGGAATGGTGATAAATTCGTGAGTTTTATAAATAAGCAAAATTTAGTTAATTTATTTTATCACTTAAAAATTATGAATTTAATTGTGTTCTATTAGTTTTTTTTTTTGTTTTTGTTTTTACTTGAGGTATTTATTTCATGGGGATATGGTAGATTGAAAATATGGTGGATGAGTTTATAATTATGTTATGTTATTGGATTGAGTGGTCGTAGAGGTGATAAATTTGTGAGTCTTATAAATGAGTAAGATTTTATTTATTGTTTAAAAATTATAAATTTCAATGGGTTATGATAGTATTTTTTCTTTTTAGGCATTTATATATATGATGTTATTTTGACAAGTTTTTATTTATTTTTATGACAATTTCATTAATATGAAGGGTATGGTCAACGATATATATTGAATTATTTTAAAATAAGAATTGATATAATATTTTTAGACCTTTCTTTTTGAATTTGGGTAATTGTTTAAGATTTTTTTTTGTTTCTTGTATAGTGTCTTTACACATGGGTAATGACTAGTCTATATAATAAAGAAACTAGTTTTGTTTGTCTTTAACTTTTCGCGGTTTAGATCATTTGAGGATTATTGATTCGACGATCATAATTGAATTTTTATTCATTTTACAATTCTAAATCACCCATTTCTCATATAACTCATCCTCTTTCTGTATATCTTACACTCAACTCTTGTACGTATATAACTCTCTCTATCTCTCTCTCTCTCTCTCTCACACACACAGCATTGCTAGTCTTAATGATCCTAATTGAACTTTCATTCTATTTCTCTCTTTCTTTTAGTATTTTTTGTCTTAATGATCCTAATTAGACTTCTTTACTTAAAATATTTGTATGATTTTATAGATGAGAAAATATTTAAATATTAAAAAAAAATCACGTAGACATTCAAAGTCAAGCTAATTACCATAAAAAAATAACAAAAATTCAAAGTCAGGCTAATTACCAATAAAAAAATATAAAAAATAATAAGTGAAACCAATTACAACGAAAAAAAATCAAAACTAACTATAATTTTTTTTATTTGCATCGCTTTTCTCTTATTAATGTTTATATTTTTTTAAATACTTAAATAGTGCAAAATAGACACTGAAATGACAAAATGTCAGTTAAATCAAAAAAAAAATTGAAGTGGTGAATTTTTAATTTTGTTGGATTGGTTTAATTGCAACGTGAGAATATTTTTTTAGCATCCGAGAAGTCATAGCGACAGAGAATTTAAATTAATTATCCTCGCAGTTGCAGATCCGCTGAGCAATGTTAGTTCAGTTGAGTTTTTTTCTATTTTTTGGAAATTTGATTTGTAGTTCAATATAGTTGATTCGTTTGATTGGATTTAGTGATTTAATTATGTTCTTAATTATATTCTTTATTAAAACTAAATAGCTTATTCATTAGATTTAATCAGAGATTGAAAAAATATATGGCATGATAATTTCGTAATGGTGTTAGTTTAAGTTAATGGAGATTCTTGGATTGTTTTAAAGTTATATGATTCTTCTTCATTTTAACCCTTGGACTTCTTTTATTTAAGACATTCTTGGATGCCTTATTTGCTTGGCGAGTTTTTTGTGTTAAGAGTGCCTTCAAGCACGGATAATGACTAGTATGTATATAAAGTAATTGTTATATCACAATAAAAATTGTTATACACACTAATTGTGTTATTGTGTCCATCGTTGTGTCACTGTGAAAATATGTTCTATTGTGACAATAACAATCAATATCACAAAGAAAATGTGTGTTAGTATGACATTAATGTCTAATGTAACCGTAAAAATTATGTTTTTATTCTAATAGTAAGAACCATTATCATTGTGAAGAAATGTGTTAGTGTGACATTAATTTTTAATGTAACTGGGAAAAATATATTCTATTATGATAGTAACAACTATGCTGTTATGCCGATGTGAATGTGTTGACGTGTCACTGTAATTGTGTCATTGTAAGTGTCATTATGTCAATATGATTATGTCAATGTATGTTGTTATTGTCGCTGTGTGTAAGCTGTGAGACAGATAATAGATGGAAGAGTGAGGAGAGAGAAAAGACATATAGTCAACAAATTGTGCGTGTAATAAATTGCCATATTCTGCGGGAGAGCATAATAGGAAAAAAAAAAAATTATTGGATTTACTTATCAAAAATTTCATATCACTTATCTTTAATGACCCAATAAATTTGTATCTATCCTTATTGACAAAATATATTGTCATATCATACTTCGTTCGTATTTTCACAAAGAGTAGCCTTTAATTTACCATAGCTATGACACAAGAAAAATCATCACTAAATTATGCAGTGCATCTCTCAGGGATGTGAATTGACTTGTGTCGTATCAATTAAATGAATTTATTGTGTCAAATATTTGTAATTTTGGACATTAAGTAGACTTACTTATCTTCTCTATTTTGGGTACATTGGGAAAGTGAAACTGAAGCCCTCACGGCTATCTACCAAAAGCTGCTCTAGCTAGGTCAGCTAGTAGAGACTAGAAAATAAGTTAATTTTGAATTTTAAAAAAATAAGATTAAAAATCTGAGTTAAATGATGTGATAAATTACATTCTAAATGAATTTTAAATTTTAAATAAATAAAAATGAGACCAAAAACATTATTATTATAGTATGGTATCATTTAGTCCATGTTTTTATCGCTTTTTTATTCATTCTAACATTAGAGGGGTGTTCATAGGTCGGGTCAGGTTGGGCTCATAAAATATTTTTTGGGTTAGACTTGGATTGTGTAGGTCCAAGCCTTTACCCAAATAAGTTATCGGGCGGATTGGGCTCCTTTGGGCTTCGGGTAGGAGTAGGCTACCCATAACTCAACTCGTGAGCCTATTGGCCGAGTTTGCTGGGTAAACTTGTTCGCGGGCTTTTTTATATGCAAGTTTATTTTAAAATAATGAATATTTCTGTATAAATAATATTTTTGAATTAAAAATAGAGTCAAAATGGATAAAAATAAAATAATAAATAATTTTATTTTCGATTAGGGATGAACTACATACAATAAAATAAATACATTCTAACTAAGTTGACATTTACTCACTTATTTATCATTTGCATACCCTTTAAAATTTGTATGTTTTATACATGAAAAAGAAAATAATATATTATTTATAATATCTAAATTTTGAAATTTTCAAATTTCAACATTAAGAGACTTATTTCAAAATTTTAAATTTAATGGTTTAAAAGTATAAATTTTTTTCAAATGAAGGGTGGGTGAACTATTAGTTCGAGTTTTTACGGATTTATTCGGGCGGGTTATTAGGCTGGGTTTCGGGCCAGGTAATAGGTTTGGGGACAAACTTAACCCTTCTTTTTAAAGATATTGAACCCAGACTGGAACGGGCCAACTATCAAATTTATCGAGTTTCAAACTTATTTTTTCAGGCCGGACATTACATTAATAACAAAGAACTGTTATGAATTAAAAATTTCATATTAATTCTATGTAGGGGGCTTGAGCGGATCAAATCCCACATAAAAATGTGGAGGGTGGAAACATGCACTAATACGGTTAATTACAAAATGTCCCTTTAAGTTTAGGTCATATTACAATTAATTATGTATAATTTTCTTTCAAATAATTTGCCCCTATCAAATTTCTTCTGAACTTACTTAACTGATGGAAAGTATAAAATTACAAAAAAAATATCATTTCAACCAAAATCTTGATTGTTCCCCATCCCTACATCTCCACCTTCATTGCCAATGCCACCACCCCATCATCACCATAAACAAATTCAAACACCATTCCAATCACAAAATCAATCCTAATCTAAATTGATGTACTTCGTTCAATCAATTAGTTCAATTAAAGATTTACAACTTCATTCAATCTCAAACGGTGATGTTGAATCATAGATTGATAGTGTGGCAACACTTGGAAATGTTGCTCTCAACCATCCATAAGGACTAGCAATTTGAGTGGGAAAAAAAGAAGTCGGTTTAGTGTACGAGGCTTCCGCTATCGTAAGGTCTGAAAATGTTAAATATTGCAATTATTTTGGGTATTAAGGATAGTGTACAGAAAAATAGAATCAAGTATAAAAATTGAGAACAATAACACAGTAGATGCACAAATTTCAAATGCTTTGCATTGTTCAAACAAATATACACCAAACATCTCTTTCAAATTCACACTCAAATGTCAAAGAATTTAACCCTCATCATGGATCACTGCTCATTACCATTCTTGCACTCACTTTCCAGGGACAAAATTGGTGGAATAGGCCCAGGCATTGTTGTTTACAGGATCAGCAAGGTGGTCAGCAAGGTTCTCCAATGGACCTTTGCCAGTCACAATGGCTTGAACAAAGAAACCAAACACGGAGAACATGACCAGTCTACCATTCTTGATCTCTTTCACCTAGAGCTCAGCAAATGCCTCGGGATCATCGGCAAGGCCCAATGGGTCAAAGCTTCCGCCAGGGTACATTGGGTCGGTCACCTCACTGAGTGGCCCACCAGCAATTCTGTATCCCTCAACAGCACCCATCAAGATCATTTGACAAGCCCAAATGGCAAAAATGCTTTGAGCATGAATCAAGCCCGGGTTTCCCAAGTCAAGTCCCTCCTCACCGAAGATTTGGGCTCCGGCCTTAAACCAGACGGCCTTGGGGAAGACACACCCAATAGCTCCAAGCATGGCCCATCTGCAATGAATCACCTCTAGTTCACGGTTCTTGGCGAAGGTCTCTGGGCAGCCGAAAGCCCAGCAGTGTCCCACCCATAGTCACCAGGGAATTCACCAGTGAGGTAGCTTGGGGGCTCACCGGAGAACGGGCCCAAGTACTTGACACGGTCTGGGCCATACCATGGGCTACCAGATGACACGGCCTTGGTCGCAGTTTTCCTCATGGAGACCCTTCCATTTCCTTGGATCTCCGGGGCAGATGGGGGAGAGTTTCACCACCTTTCCGGCTAGAGAAGGGGAAGAGAGAGCCATGGTTGAGGCAGCCATTGTATGCTTGTATTGAAAACTATGAAAAGAATAGTAGTTCAGTGAAGAAATCGAGAAGAGTAATATTACATAAACTTAAAAAATAGATTTAAAAATTAGATTTGATAATCTCAACCATTGATTTTACTGTGGGTTCCAGCATTTATTGGGGCTCACTACCTCTTCAATGGCTGAGATTATCAAGTCTAATTTTTAAGTCAATCTAGCATTACTCAATAGAAAAAGGTGGTTGTGGCTTGAGTTTCGTGGGCTTGCACCTATGTATATATACTTGTTGGATTGCCAAAGGTCCTTACCTTTGGATATTATTATCTATAAATTCATTGGTTGGTGACATCTTGAGAGCTTCAAAATGCATACCCATTTGTAAATATCTATACCACTCACCAGACTTAGAATCTTAAGGTGCATTTCAGTCCACAAGTTCTAGGGAACCTATTTAGTTGTATGGCTAGTAAGGAGAGCCTCTGATTTTAGAAATCCAAACAAATATCTTTGCTCTTGATGAGGGATAACATATGAACATTTTACATCTAGTGCTTGGACCACTGTTTGCCCAGCTTGTGTCCTATTCAAGTATAAAATAAGCCGTTAATACACTTAGATTGAAAGTGGGCATCACCTATGATTAATACAATGATTGTGATGAATTAAATCAGGTTAAAAAATATGTCAACAAATTAGATCGAAATAAAATTATTGATCCATTATATTCAGAGTCAATTTAATTAATCATTTTCATTTGTCTTGATGCTAACTTCTTGTGTTTTTTTTTTGGTTTTGTCGTATTTAGGTTAACATACATAAATTACAAACCAAAAATTCGAGACTATGACCCCCTTTCTATCCCATATGCTAGAAAAATAAAGTTAAAAAAAAAAACTCTAATTCTACAAGTATTCATATAATGCCTAATTATCAACAAATGTCTTAGTAAAAAACTAGATATTCATGCATATCTAAACTTGACTCATTTTCTAAAAAACTAAACTTATACAATATTTTAATAGTCAAGTTATTCATGCACGACTTGGGTTCAGCGCATGCTCAAACTTGACTCATTTTCTAAAAAGCTAAATTTGAATAATTTCTTAGACTCGTTTAAAAAAACGAGTTCGACAAATTCGGACTCAAGTTTTCAAAACTCGGCTCCATTAACACCTTTATAAGGAGGTAATATGTATTTAATTGGCTCACCACCCATACACTTGAGTTTTTAATTGTAATTGATTTCAGTTGTGTACACATAATAGGACGATATTATTGGACATTCTAATAATCCTAAAGCTATAACATTGATATTGGTGGCCCTTAATAATTATTGATTTGTGGGCAATCATAGTTGTGAGTTGATGCGACATTTTCGAAATACTCTAAGATGAAGACACGTGTCATCGGTGTCATTAAATCCTTGTTACTGAGATCACGTACCCATCGGTTCACAAGTCCCTCTCCTCCAAGGTACTTGTCATAGGGATCAAGTGCATCCAGTACGTTTACGTACCGACACGTATCTCTCGGTCTGATATGGGTACATCGGTCGCTATATGTACCTCCCTTCTCGGCTCCAAGATGTACCTCCCCCCCTCCGTACCGAGATGTACCCTCCATCCAGGATGGCGTTCTCTTCTCCTGCAGAGGCTATTGATGTACAGGTCACTAGCCTAGACTAGGCTAAGTTAGCTATCATGATCTCGTCTTACACAATTGGTGTCAGAAGGCACAGGAAGGCAGGGGACACAGCCAATGGGGAATGGACGCGTGACATATTGTGTCACATCAGAGACAGAAAGACCGGATGCCCTTGCTGACACACGACTTGGGAAAGTAAGCATTTAATTACACCATTCCCTTGATGAGACAACATTTAATGCTGTAAGGCTCGGAAGTGAAAGGTAATAAATGTCTCTAAGGCTAGACATTTATTACATCCTCCCCGAGAGGAGCTCATTGAACAGTCGGCAGGCCAATGACACAGCCTTGGTTGCTCGGGATCCCGAGTAGTTAAAAGAGAAGACATTCCTCATAGGAAACCGTGCACACGTTGCCTGTACCTAATGATCACATACTGACTACACTGACAGCAATCATGAGTTTTTGAGATATAAATACTCCTTGCGAAAGGCAAGACGGTATATAACGAAAAACCTTTGCTATAAATTATACTCAGTGTTTTCTTCTTCCTCTCTCTCAAAAACTGACTTGATCGTCGGAGGGGATACGCCGAAAAACACTCCGGCGCCCTTTTAACTTGTCTTTCTTTGTTCCAGGAACGTTCCTCAAACTTACTGGATCGTTCCATTGATCCACGAGGGTCTCCCATTACCATTTCAGGTTACCACCGGACCTCACAGGCTGTTCCAAGCAGCAGGGTTGACCACTCGACTAACTCACTCAAGTTCACCAAGGAAGAGATCTATTCTCGTGTTTATATTGTGCAAGATCCAGCACGCACAATCTGGCACCGTCTATGGGAAACAACTAGTTTTCCTAGTTTCTTCTCTATAAAGAACAATAACTATGGTGAATACTCGACAAAATGGGAAAGGTCCCCAACAAAGAAGTCTCGAATTACAAGTTTCATGTCACCATGGAGGGAGGGATCACACTGATGGGAATAAAAATATCTCTATTCAGTCAAGAGGGGTTATCTCTCAAACCAGTATGGGCATCAGGTCAGGAGGATCCGCCCCCTTGGCTCGTCAACTGGCGGAGGTGATCGAAGAAAAGTTTAGGGATCGATTACGACAGTTGAAAAAGGACAATGTGAACGTCCTAAGCCGACTCAACGAATTTGTCGCCTCCGGCAAAGGGTCGAGGGACTCATTCCTTTCTCGTGGGCTCCCCGCTCGAGAGGTGGAAACGAAGGATCTAAAGAATCATTTAAACAATAAGGCAGAAAGCTCCAGGGCCCCAAAGCGACCGAGAGCCAACGAGCACCCTCTTAACGACCATTCCAGGAAGGCAAGGCCTTTAGCCCTGGACGACCTCTGGCGAGGATTGTCGAGACGGACGAAGGGAGATGAGTCTGAGGAGGATTCAACCCTATCCACACGGCGACCAGGAAATGGGGGACCTATTGATGAACTCAAGGACTTCAGAAGACATCCCGTCGAGGAGGAAATTGATCTCAGAGCCCGGTTGGAATCCAGGGGAAAGAGTAAGGCTGTCCAAGATGAGGTCGAAGACGAGGTCATACAAATACCCTTTACCAGGGAGATCGGAGAGATAAGGTTCCAAGAAAGTTTGTCGTACCGAGGTTCAAAACTTATGACGGCGCGGTCCGATCCCGAAGCCCATCTCAGACAATACAAGCAATAGTTCATCTGCCAAGTGTTTCCTATGAGCTTGGGGGACTCTGCGATGAAGTTGTTTGAGGCGTTTCCCCCAACAGCATTGGATCGTGGAAGGAATTGACGAGGTAGTTCCTAGCTCGATTCATTACGGGGAGTAAGCGGCCTAAAGACGTTGGATCATTGCTAATGCTCAGACGTAGGGAATCCAAGACCCTTCGCCAGTACGCCCATCCAATACTGGAAAGAGGTTAATGAGGTAGAGGGCTGCTCGGAAGTCATGGCAGCAGCGTCTTTCAGGCTCGGCTTGGCAAGGGACACGGACTTGTACCGATCCATGACCAAGAAGACTCCCTCGGATATGGGTGAGTTGATGGCCCAGATAAACAAGTACTCTAGGATCGAGGACGAGATGGGAAGCAGCAAAGGCCGAACCCTCCAACCTAAGAGAAAAGAGAGGAAACGGGAGGATACTCCCCGAAAGGGACTGCTACCCCCTCCGGGGGTGTCGTTCAAAGGAGTTCACACTATGTTCAAGGAACCCATCTTCAAGTTGCTCCATAAGATAAAGCATGAGTCATTCTTCAAGTGGCTGCCCAGGATGTAGAGCGATCCCTCCACCCGTGATCAAAAGGTTAGGTGTTTCTATCACCGAAATTTCAGACATCGCACCGAAAGCTGCAGTGTATACAAATCGTTCTTGGAAAGATTGGTCCGAGACGGATACTTGAAAGAATACATAGAGCCCAGGCCGGAAGAGAGACACACCCCTGCCCCGACCGAGGAGCCGGACAATGTCATAGTTTCTGCTAGATTGCCCCACGTCCAAGGAACTCGAGTCCGATCTCAAGAGGGTAGCTTTTACAAGGAAGATAGCCGAGGATGATGGGGGCCGCCCAGTAAAAGGGCCAGGACTGGCAAACCTAGCATCACGTTCTCCGACGCTGACTTGACAGGCGTGGTGACTCCTCATAACGACGCCCTTGTTTTAACCCTGAAGATAGGTAAGTTCGACGTCAAGAGGGTGTTGATAGACTCCGAAAGTTCCTTGGAAGTGATGTACTCTGACACTTTAAAACGGATGGGTCTTGGCCTTAAGGACCTCACTAAGGTCAGGACACCCCTCATCGGATTCAATGGCTCGTTCGCCCTGCCCATAGGCAAAATTACATTGCCAGTTGTCACAGGTCCCGTCATCATCAACACCGAGTTTGTCGTGATTGATACGGACTCTCCTTACAATGTGATCATGGGACGAGCATGGCTGCATGCGTTAGAAGCGGTGCACTCCACTTATCACCAGAAACTGAAATTCGCCACACCGGAGGGGATTATGGAGATCCGAGGGGACCAAGCATCCGCAAATTTTTTTTTATTCAGCTGTTAGAGTTGGGGCTTTCACCCAAGAAAAGGGGCGGGGCTCAGAAAGAAATCATGGAAAAATAGCAATCACAGTCCGGGCGTCCAGGAATGGATGACCCCCGAATTAACCCAATGGAATGGTCGGTGGAGGATCTCCAAAAGGTGCCCTTAGTGGAGGGAGATGAAGAAAGATACTTCTTAGTTGGAACCGCGATGCCCACACACCGAACAGGAGGAGATGA